ATGCCGGCCTGTTATCTGACCTTCGATCTCCACGAGGAATAGCAGGTGGTCGGTGTTGTGCTGCTCTCTGTTCGTTTTGTTGTTAGCCCTGCTTTGTTTTCGCGCGTTGCTTGATGTTCAGCCTCGCGAAGTCTGTTAGTATACCACAAGTGGTCACACAGCGAAATAAGCTTGGGGCCATTGCCACGTAGTCGATGCGGTTGGAGACCCCATCCTTGTGGCACGTGAAATCGTCCGCCTCCCCGTAGAACGTATTGACGATATGGAGGTTTCCGTTGGCCACTGTTTCGCATAGCTGCTGTCCATTGCTGTCGATCTGCTGGTCGGGGCCACGCTGCCCGATCCACGGGGAGTCTTCACCGCCCTTGTGGCTCAGCTTTGAATTCGCGTCGAAAAAGAGTACGTCTGGCTTCCAAAGGTCGCGCTGCTCCCAGAACTCCCCCACCATCCACTGAGGTCTTTCGCTTGTTGATATGGCGCGCGCGCTGCTGCAACAACGTGTTGAGAACAAAAAAGAACGGTGCTTGTATTCTCACGAATAACATCCTGGCCGTGGAGTGCAACCTCGTCAGCTGGGACTGCTTGAAAGTGTACCTCTTTGCCCTTGAGCTGCCCGTAGGGTATCTCGGCAATCACGAGCAGCGGGCATCCCCAGTTACCGTCAGCGGAGCTGCTCTGTATGTTGATGAGCGCTTGTCCCGTCCAGATTGCCTCCTTGCACCTCGTCTCTTGCATGCCGGCGATGTGTATTTTGCGCTCCGTGAGTTGTGCTCGCACTAGTGCGCCATTGGTGAAGATGTCCAAGTGTATGTCGGCTTTGGTGAAGTCTCCGACCATCGACTGAGCGTTGTACTGCGCTATGTTGAACTTCGTGGAGCCTTGTTGCAGCTGTCCGCCGTCAGGTCTGGGATGTGGTCCACGTTCGCGACTTTGGGTTTCATCACCTACTCGAAAAACGCTTGTCTTCTGTGCGGGTAGGCGTGGAGGTCCCGGCACGTGGGGTTCTCCATCCAGGCCCACTCCAGCTCTTTGCTGTGCTCTATAAGCTCCACCAGGGCGGAGCTTGGCGGCTGTGGAGGCGGTTGTAGAGCTGCATGTTTAGCCAGTGTGTACGCCGCCTTGTTCCACGGTGCGTCTCTGCGGGCGCTGGTGTGCTCGAAACTTATATTCTTGCTGTGGCTGAGCTGCTCAGGCAGGATCCTGGCAAAGCGCGCGAGCGCCCTATGATTTTGGGTTATTATTATTAGTGTGGTTCCTGCTGCTGCTCCCAGGGCCGCCGTGTTGTCGCCAACAACGATGATCTCCTCAGTGTCGTCTTCCGGAATGCTAGCGTTGACCGCCCATCGGATTTTTCCTCGCTCGGGACTTGTGATGGATGTAATACTATCGGCCATATCCTTGCTGACCGAAAATGCGTGGTTCGAGTTTGTATGTCGGTAGTAAGCAATGCCGCGTTCATCTTCTCGCATGCGAACCACTGCCCAAGCTGAAGTGCTGGGCGCGCTACCATGGTACCTCCTCCTCCTCCCCTTTCTCTTTCGTCCCCCCAATGGAACAAAATGAAATGAGTTGTTTTTCGCTGTTTCCTCCAACCCGTCCTTCGGAGGCTGAGTTTTCCTCTTTTTTCCATGTTAAAACACAAACTTGTCTTCGTTTTCCTTGTTGTTCTTCTTTTTCGGGCCTTCCCTTGGGCAGCGGGGAGGCCCCGATGGGGCCGAACGAGAGATGGAAAGCAGGAACAAAAAGGAACAAGAGGAACACAAACTATGTTTTCACATGAAAAAAAAGCGAACAAACTCTGCATCCGAAGCCGGGGAGGAGGAAAAAAGGCAAAAATCATCCTCCGCCTCCTCCGCCGGCTCCTCCTCCTCCTCCTCCCCCTCCGTCTCCCCCAGGGGGGGAAACAGGAAAGGAGTTTCTTCCTCTGCTCCTCCTCTCCGCCCTCGGAGGCTGAGTTGTTTTCCTTGTTTTCCCTTTGAAAGCACAGGGTTGTTCCTGTGTGTCCATTTTTCCCGGGTTCCCCTTTCTCGTTCGGCCCCTCGGGCCAACCTTGAGGCGGCGGGCGGGGATCTCCGCCCACGGGAGACAAGAGGAGAGACCACGGCAAAGAAAGAAACGCCGAGGGGGACGACGAACGGAAAAGGGAAAGGTATGATACCTGGAGGGGGGCGTCCATATATCTGTTTTATTTATTTATTTATTATATATATATGTGTGAAATATGACAATATGAAACTATAAGTAATTATGTATGTATGTTTGTATGTATGTATGTATGTATGTATGTCTGTATGTGTGTGTGTGGGTATGTATGTATACATGTGTAGAAAAAAAAAAGTTCCACTGCGGAGGGGGGGCCTGTTGGAAGACAACCGTCTGAAAACCCTCCACCGTACCAAATTACTCCGACGGAAGGACCCCACATGATAATATGTTTAGATTGCCGTTACCCTTTTCTTCCTCGCCGTGACGGACACTATCCTCTCGCCCGCCGTTCTGCCCTCACCTACTCTGGAGTAGTTACAGGTTGCCGATGACACGCTCGGATTACCACCATGAAGTGCGGATGGGGCTCCCGCCTGAGACTTCCTCACAATTCACTCACAGACGAGGCTCCCGCTTGATACTTCCTCCAAATTCAAGCCTGGTGAGCCCAAAAGTGACGACGGTTACAGGTTGCCGATGACCCGCTCGAATTACCAACATGAATGCGGGACCCATAGGGAGGGGGCTCCCGCCTGAGACTTCCTCACAATTCACTCACAGACGAGGCTCCCGCTTGATACTTCCTCCAAGTTCAAGCCTGGTGAGCCCAAAAGTGACGACGGTTACAGGTTGCCGATGACCCGTTCGAATTACCAACATGAATGCGGGACCCATAAGGAGGGGGCTCCCGCCTGAGACTTCCTCACAATTCACTCACAGACGAGGCTCCCGCTGGATACTTCCTCCAAATTCAGACCTGGGAACCCCAAAAGTGACGACAAATACAAGTTGCCGATGACCCGCTCGGATTACCAACATGAAGCGCCGCCTGAAGCTTCCTCACAATTCCCTCACAGACGAGGCTCCCGCTTGGTACTTCCTCCATATTCAGGCCTGAGGAGCCCAAAAGTGACGAAAATTACAGGTTGCCGATGGCCCGCTCGGATTACCAACATGAAGTGCGGGACCCATAGGGAGGGGGCTCCCGCCTGAGACTTCCTCACAATTCACTCACAGACGAGTGAGTGATGACGAAGAGATGAATGAGTGATGATGATGAGTGAGTGAATGATGATGATGATGATGATGATGATGATAATGATGAGTGAGTCAGTGAGTGAGTGATCGAGTGATGATGATGGTGATGATGATGATGATGATGAGTGATGATGATGAGTGATCGTGCGATGCTGATGGTGACTGGTGGTGATGATGATGGTGACGAAGTGATGAGTGAGCATGTAGTGATGATGATGATGATGATGGTGATCGTGCGATGCTGATGATGATGAGTTATCGTACGATGCTGATGGTGATGCTGATGGTGATGATGATGATGATGTTGATGATGATGATGATGATGATGATGATGATGATGATGATGATGATGATGATGAGTGGGGAGTGATGGTGATGGTGATGATGATGATGATGATGATGATGATGATGAGGAGGAGGAGGAGGAAGCAAGGAGGAGGAGAGGAGAGGGAGGAGGAGGAGGAGGAGGAGGAGGAGGAGAGATCCTGCGCGGAGGGTGTGCAGAGAAAACACGAACCCCACTTATGATGTGGGGAAAAACCATCCTTGGGACTTCAACGCCGCGAATCGATCGAGTGTTGCGACCTGACGGTCCGAAATAGTGCCAGAACACACCGAATCAATGTGACTGTCGCGACCTGACGACCTGAATCGAGCCAAGTATCATTCCTGGGACGTCAAGCGTAGGGAGCTCCGAAACTGCTGTGAACTGTTAAGGCGACTGTGCGCGGCGCTAAAACGAAACACACACGTTTTGAGAAGGACCCCACCTCCATCTCGCACCGCGAGAAATCACAACTGGAGCCCTAGACCCATCTTTTTGCGGCCCACTTCGAGCCTGATCCTTCCGTGATGGCCCCGAGGCTCGAAACCGAGCAAACACGCCTGGTCTGAAAAAGCTGCTTCGCCTGGGTCTCAGGGTCCCCCCCCCTCCCCGCCTCCGTTCCCCCCCCCCTGCCTGCACCCCCCCTCCCTCTCCCTGAGCCCCTGACCCATGTCAAACCCTCCCCCCAGGAGGGGGAGGGGCAGAAGGAGTCGAGCGTGCCAGCAGCGTCGAAAGCCGCCTCACGAGCCTCGCGTGGACCGGAGAGCATATGGACCGACCGCAGTGCTGCCAGAGCCGCCGGCTTCAATTTCTGCGGAGGGATGGGGCTCAGCGAGAACCTCGCATGGCGAGAAGCCTTGAAGGCAACGGCAACCTCCTCAGCGACTTCGACGGATGAAGCGAGGACCAGGAGGGGGGGAGGATGAGGGGGGGACCCCGCCCTCACGCCTCGGGCGTGTGCACCCTGCAGCCTGTACCCTGCAGCCTGCACGAGAGAAAGCACCCCTGCCCCGCTCCGGGTCGCACGGATGCACCAGCGCCGACGATGAATCCAGCCTCCCGAGACCCAAGACTCAGACCCGAAGAAAACGCGGTATCCTGGGACCACGGGCCGTCATGGGTTCGTTCGTGTCCCGCCCTTCTGACGGAGAGCAACTATCATTGCACCGGCCTTGCAGACGTACTGCAGCGGATTTCTGCGTGGACTTCTGCGTGGATTTTTGCCCGAAGCGGCGAGCGAAAAACGGAGCGACCTTCGCGTGGATTCTTTTTGGTCTTCATTCCTGGCCAAGAAGATCCGCACGAAATACACCTCGAAATCCGGAACGAAACTCTCCGGGACACCCCGGGCCCACCCTATCCTTTTCCGAAGGCAGTCCGCTCTGCGATGTGGGCGCCATGATCTGTCCGTGGGCCGCCCCGAGGCCCCCGCGGGTCCTGCCCCGGCCGTAGCCGCTGCACCGAGGTCAGCGACACGCGCTCCCAGGCGCCCTCCTCGGGCGGCCCACATCCTCCTCCTCGGCCTCCCCCTCCTCGTCCTCCTCCGCGTCCTCGGCTGGCCCCCCTTCTCTTCCTGGTCCCGCTCCTCCTCGCCTTCGTCGTCGTCCTCCTCGCCCTCTTCCTCCACACACACAAACACAGACACACACACACACACACACACACACACGCACACACAATGGGTGTTTCTCATGTTTGCTCTTGCTGTTATCATTGTCAAATATTTTGTGTATGTGTTTCTCCTCCTCCTCCTCCTCCTCCTCCTCCTCCTCCTCCTCCTCCTCCTCCTCCTCCTCCTCCTCCTCCTCCTCCGCTCTTCTTTTCGCCTAGGACATCCCGCCTCTTCAACACTCGCAGAGCGAAGGAGGCGCGGCACCACATTTGGGGGCCTCGGAAACTGGCGGCCAGCCAGACACATATGATCCAACCGACTCACCGAAACAAAAGGTGCAAGAACGTCATACGCGCCCATCGGACACACACCGCGCCGTGCGCGGGGCCAGGGAGCAACGGTGCGAGGGTCACTAACGGCGCAACGCCGGGCAGTCCCCACTCGCACCGCGCCCCCCGTTGGGAAGCCATAGACCAGGAACGAAGCCTAGCGCACACCTCTACCGCGACGCACCGCACGATGGATCTGCCACAATTGGACAGCAAAATGGCACACGAGTGCGTGGGAACAAACAAGCCGTAGTCAATGGTGCGGGTGCTCATCTTTGAACAGGGAACCCCAGCCCTCCGCGAGCCTGGCCCCAGGGGCCCAGAACGGGGAAATCCGCCCCAGAGGACCCCTGGGCCACGGAAGACGACCGTTTCTGAGCATTTGCACCTGCTTCTTCTTAACATTAAAGCAGCCACCCACTAGGTCTTTGGGGTGGCGGCCAGTGGTGTAGCTACCACATCTGTTGCAGAAAAGAATGCCCTGCCCTGTGGCCAGCACCCTGGCCACCCTGAAGGAGTGGGGGGGGGAAGGAGGGGCAAGAGGGCAAAGGAGGGAACGGAGGGAGGGGGCAAGGGGGCCGCAGGCCGAACACTCGGCCGCTTTCACAGACCTGAAGGTCCGAGCACAGACGAAACACTGCCAAGCATTGCCCATCCATCTGATTTTATGGGCAAGGAACACATGCTGGAGCTTCTCAGGCCTGGCACGAGGGGCCTTGCCTAGCTCACCAAACAGTTCACGAGCTGAGGGCCACTCTGCCAAGACAGCCCCAGCGAAATCGGCAACTTGGTTCCATTTCTTAAACAGCGCGGTGATGGTGGCCACATCTTGGGGGGACCTGTAAAACCCCGCAGCTTCCTTGGCGTACACATCGGCCCAATTGTTGCCGCGTGTTTTCCACCTGGGTTGGGCCTCCGAGTCTTCCTCTAAATGGGCTTTCACTTTGTGGATAGTCCAGGCCCTGGGGGCCACCCGCTTGATCCGCCTCCAGTGGCCGCTCTGTACCGTGGTACCCCTCGAGGCCTTCGACAAGTCCTTGGAGCCCCAGATAAGAGCAGAGCAATCCACGAACGCGTTCAACTCGGCCTCTTCCTCAGGGGGGGGGTCCTGGTCCTGGTGCTCGATCGTGTGCATAAACCCATGGTGCTCGGCCAGCACTGCAGTTTGGGGAAGCCCCCGAGGGATGGAGCCCATCAGGCCCCTGATCAGGTTCCCGTCCCCGTCCACCTCGACAGCGGCCCAGCCCCCACGGGCTCCCACATCAGTTTTTGGGTCCCAGACCGAACCGTCCGAGAAAACCTTGGCGTTGTGCGGGAGAGTGAACGGGTCGATCGGCCCATTCGCGTCGAAATACCTGACAAAATCCTCAACTGGGGGCTCCAGCTCGAGCTCGGGCACAGGGACCCACAGCGAGCTGAACAGCGGGTCCTGCTCGCCCGCCGAGATGGCCTCCTCGAGAAGGTCCTGATCCAGCGCTATCCTAACAGAGGCCCCCTGAGGGCAAATCCAGATCCTGTGCCACACGGAATCAATTGCCTCACAGAACTTACAAAAAGGGGTAACTTCATATCCCCACCGATTGAGCGAAGCCGCTGTGGTGTACGCACGACAGAAAACCTTCCGAAGGATCTTTTTCTGGGCAAAACTACACGCTTTGCTTCGCATCCTCGAACGGATGGGTTGGGTCCAAAGGCCTCGCTCCTGAATTTCAAGCACCCTTGGATGATCCCAATCCTGAACTAACATGTTGACGCTCTCAGCCAAATACTTCCGCTTGATATCCTGAACGAAAAACTTGCGCACAAGCTCTGGCGGCGAGTCCGTCAAGCCGACAGGAATCCCGCTCGCTGAGGTGAAGCTGGCCTGGTTATTGAAAATCCACCCGGCCTCGACGCCCCACAACAGAGCGTCCAAAATCGGGTGCGTGCCTCTTCTGCGCCATCCTAAAGACGGTGGTGTCGCGATCAACTTCTCTAGACACGCATGAAAAGCTTTGGTGAGAGTGCCAGCACTTAAGCCATCAGACGCCCGTAGCTGCGGGTCTGTGGCCTCCCACCATTCACGAGCATATCTTACAATAGTGTCACCAGCATGGCTGATCGGGTCCTTCGAGCTCTCCGTGGCCCAGATGAGGTCGATGGGGGCCCCTGGGCACCAGATGCCAAGCGCCTTAGCCCCCAAGACTCTGAGCTTGTGAACTTCACGAGGACCCAACCCAACCACATCGCTGCCATATGTCATGCTCGGCTTTTGCCCCACGAAGAACAACTTGGCCTTGGATCCAGCTTTCCCTCTGAGGTTCCTGATCTTGGGCATCCTCCTGAGAGCCTTGGACCACCTACACCGCCTTTTGGCCAAGTTGGGGACCTTCTTGGAGCACACACGGGGACCCTTGACGGAGTTGACCTTGTTGGGCAACCTCGAGCCCTTTGAGCCTATGGAGAAGTCCACCCCTAGGTTCACCACCTCCCCCGTGATCGTGTGCGCGTACTGGCCAAAACACTCCAGAGCCCCCTCCATGACCTCCTTCGAGTTGGAAGTAAAGCAACCTTTCTTCAGCGAAATCGGGAGCCCTAGACGGTTGGCACACGCACTGAAGAGTTGTCCTGCCATCTGCGCTATGCAATTTAAACAACCTGTTACCTCTCTGTGGGCTCCATCCACTTCGAGGTCATCGACATGGATCGTGAAGCTTGTGTTCTCAATGGGCACTAGATCCTGGACCATGGGCACCATGAACGCTTTTATCTCAAAAGTAGCCGTACTGCTTCCCGCCACGATACCCTGGTCGGGGTAGAAGAGAGGAGAGCAGACACGATCCATCATAATCACTCTTGGCCACCTATAGCTGGAGATGGCAGTGCGCAGGGCGTGCAGTGGGAAATCCGCTAGCTTGCATTCCTCCCACAGTGACAAGTGGCGCACATGTTCATAACACTGCAGAAGGTCGGCCAACAAAATACCTACCTTCATCCCACTCTCGTCCGCCAAAGCACTCCTGACTGCCTGCCTCCAAACACCATCGGTGGTACTTCTTCTAGGTGCCATGTTAAAAACTCCTCCATCCTCCAGCCGAGACTCCCACTCTTTGCAAAAACCTGCCGAGACCTTCGAGTAGATCCGTGAATAGCTCTGGAAGAAGCCTATTGGCCGCCTCCCTGTCTCAGGCTTCTGGAACAGTTGCACGAGCAAGATACGCAAAGGGGATGGTGCATGGCCTGTCGCCGCCTGCAGCGAGAAAAGGGAAGACATTGTCTCGAGAGCCTCATCGGAGAGAAATGCATAGTGTCGAGGATGAAAACCGTCCACCGCAATCGTGTTCGCCTTGAAGCCTCTCGAGATCTTCCTCAAAGAATCTGCTGGGGGCGCCTCGGGGATGACATAGTCGGGAGGGAGGGGCAACTGCAGGGGCTCCTTGCGGGTCTCCTCCGCCTTCCAGGCGGCTTTCCAGAGATTCTGCTGAGCTGCGAACCTGGCACTGAAGCTGCTCGTAAAACCTCCCTCCTCCAGCTGAATGACATCCTCCTTGAAGTTGGTCGCAACCTTGGTGTACGCGTGGGCCCATCGGGCCCCCCCTTGGAGGGCCTCCGAGCACCAGTCAGACCATTTCTGGTTGCTGTGGGTCTTTTCAACCTTGAACGCCTGCTGTTCGATTCTGGCCGCGAAGCCCGCCCAAGCACTCAACTCGAGTTCAGCTTCAAGCCACGGTTCAGCCGTATGCGATAACAGCTTCTTGCCCACATACTGCATGAGCGGCTTCCAAAACGGCTCACCTTCTGGCCATAGGCGCATAAAAGGGAGCCTCCGCCCGCGTGCAGCATGGGTCACCAACCTGAGATAGTATGGTACATGGTATGGGCTGCCGTGCTTCCGAAAAAGGGCTAGGAACTCCTGCAAGCGCCTAGCCACCCAGCCCACAGCGCGTGATACCGACTTGAACGGGCTGCTCTTGGTGATCAGAAGTTTGGCCAGTGAGACCGACTCGAAAGCGTATGGGGAGCCTCCAGGGAGCCCACGGACCTCTTCGGCGTTGGTCTGGAACACCCCCTCGAGCTCCCGCCAAGCCCTGAAAGCCCATTCCTGGTAAACACGGTCCAGAACTTGCTGAAACTCGTCCAGACGCGCACTCGGGACAGGTTGAAGCCCCCCTCCGTCCAGCCTGAGGTCCTCCAGGGGTCCTGCAAGAGCGGCCTGAAGGTCACCAAAAGACGGCGGGGCTGGGGGAGGGCCCACAGGCCTCTGGTGTGGGAGGCGCTGGATCCGAGTAAGCTTGGAGACCATTATCTCTCCCGTGTCCTCAGCTAGGCCAAGGAGAACAGGGCGGTGTGGCGGCACTGCTGCTCCCAGATCTGCCTCGCAGAACTGCACCCCGAAGCTGAGCGAGTGGCTGCATATAAAGTAATCTAGAATTGCCGCGTGATCTGGTTGTACCAGAGTGAAGTCTTCTGGCTGGACGATCTGCCCTCCATATCGCCCAGGCGCCAGCCCGCTTGACAACACTGCTGGTTCTAAGTTGAAGTCTCCTCCTGCGATGAACGGGGTCCCGATCTCG